GACATGAAGCTGGTGGCAGCGTGGAGTCACCATGGCCACTCCACCTGGCTCTGCAGGGCCCCCCAAAGCATGGAGCCCGATTTGCCCCCCTGCTGACCCAGGGACAACCCTGGCTGTGAGTCTGGACTGCAAATCCCAGAGACCTCAGGGGCAGCAGGAAGAGGAAGTGAACACACAGCCCATACTGGCTACGTGCCAGACAGCTGTACTCTAGTGCCCCACGGCTTCTGGCTTGAGCCACTACAGACATGTGGCTGCATTTCCTGAATCAAAAATTAATGCCTGTTCACTTGCTTAGTGGTTCATTCTTTGCAGCTTAGACTAACCTGCAAAAACTGAATCAATTCAGCCTCAGACATTTTGACTCTCTGTACTTAGCCTTTATCTTGTTAACAGGAAGAAAGAACTTTCTAGAAGGAATGGTGGCTTCTCCAATGCAGGCTCTTCATTCCATTTTTCTTAGTGCTCTTTATAAAATGTGGGTGTGAACACACACATCTGCATGCACATACGTACTCATGTATATATGTATACAAATTAAAATTAAAAGAATTGGGGTGGAAGGGAGGGAGAACAAATGTGTGTGACCTCCCCTGGGAAGTTCATTCATTGCTTCTCCAGGCTCTGAGCTTGCATCAGAGGTCTGGGTTTCTCATAAGGCTAACCAAAACTCTTCATTCCCTAGCTTTTCCTTAAAATGAACTCACAGTCTTAATTCTAATTTAGCAGCATTTGCTGTTTAGGAATTATGTATGTATAAAATGTCTTGTACCCCTTTGGGAGCTCTGTAAATGTGATGAAACAAATAGAGCAGTAGTCTTGATCTGGAGAAAGAGGTGGTGATATTTTATACTTGGATTATTATTACATCCCAGGGGTGCTGTTATTTTTATACTTCCCTCCCCAACTAGCCTGCTAGTTTGCCTGCATAGTTGCATGCTTCCACCCTGACTTAGCATCAGTATCATGAAGGATGGGAGGGAAGTTCAGCTGCAACACCCCTTCTACCCTAATCTTCTGTGCTTTCAGCTGCCTGCAGTGAAAATACTTATTACCCTGAATTATGAGGGTGGTTTTTGTGCTGTGAATTTTCTCCTCTGCTAGGAACTCAGTGGAGAAAGACCCCCACAGCATCGTAACCACCTTTCCTCATCTAAGTTGTATGCAAACTAGCATTAAATCCTATTGCCACTGAAAGGCTTGATATCCTAATGATCAGTCTCCTAAACTAGTTAGTCCCCCTTTCCCTCAGAATTCCTACAGTATGTTTTAAAGGAGACCAAGAGAGTTAGGTATTTGTTTTTTGCTCTTCTGGCATGATTTTGGTTAGTGAGGAAAAAGATAGATGAGGCAAAAATTATTATTTTTTAAAACCAACTAATGCCGTTACAGCTGAACCAAAGCCTACTCTGTTTTACCTACATAAATCCAGAGTGACTGTGTCAACTTCAGTAGTCTCTCTGAATCTATATGTTGTATCAGAAACAACTTTGGTCCAGGATTCCCTGTCCTGAATGCTGGTAGCCAGAACTCAATAAAGGGATGCGTTTTTACAGCATGAGGCTCAGTGGGATGAGTGAAGCTTCAAAATCTTATTTTGAATTAACCTGGCACAAGCATGGGGTATTTGGAGCAGAAAGCAGCTTGTTATCTTTAAGATGATGAAAGTGCTTTTCAGTGCATGCCAGTACGATTTTAGTGCACTTCCCTTAATGGAGAGCCAGGAAACTGTTCCTGTTGTCCCTAGAGAAATGAAGAGACTTGTCCTGAGGGATACTGGGGACCATCATTCCTTTGTGCTTCACAGAGGGACTTGGCCCACCTTATTGCAGAAAGGAAGACACAGGAGAAACAGAAGAGGCCCAGAGGCAGGTGACAGCCTTGGACCAGCTGTGCACAAATGAGCAGGTGTCACTGGTGGAAACTACTTCACCCGAGGGAGATGTTCTCTTGGCTTGGAACCAGGGGTGTTTCCCAAGGTAGAGCACATTCACCTCAGTCTGATAGATTGTGTTACTTAGTTACAACCTATTTTATCTCTTGGGCCTTTTCTGAGATATGCTGTTCATGTATTTATGGCTTGAATTCCAGGTGTTCTGCATATGATACCTTCAGGAAAACCTGCTTGGGGACATCACTGAGCACAGACAGAGAATGAGAACAATGGCAGACAGAAAAGGAAGGCGGCTTTGATCGTGTGTAGACGAAACGATCTGACTGCAGATCATTAAGGAAGGGGCTGCAGGAAAGGATGGGCCAGTGCCAGCTGCTTGTTTTCTGCTGCACGGCCATGTGACTTGTATGACATTTACATCTTAATAGGCCCCTTTGGCCACCAACTAACAAAGGCCCAAGGCAGGAAAACAATTCTGTGATGTCTGAACTGACTAGGAGGGCACTGGTTTTAATTTCTGGCTGTTCCTGTTTTCAGTGACAGCAACTGCATTTAACTGCCTGTTCTGAACAAAAGAAGAACTGATTAACATCGTGGAAACAAAAGTAAATGCATCCCCAGCAATGTGGTATTATCTGAATTATGTGTCAGACATCATAAATACCCAGGTTCTAGTGCAGATTCACTAGCAGAAGAGAACTAAAAGGACCGAAGAGTGAAAGGTGCAAAAATGGGGAGGTGCTGCTGGTCAGGTACCATGACATTTGGGGGCTGCTAAAGGAGGCTAATAGAAACAAACCAACCCAGTATGCTTGTGTCCTGTTACTCCTCCTTGCTGACAGATAAAGAGGGAATGATTCCAAGTTTGGGGGTTATGAAAATGTTTTTCCAGTCATTTACATTTGTGCTGTAGTAGCTGAGCTCCATTTCCCTGTTCCTACAGGAACATTTGTGAGAAGGGCTTTAAACTAGGTTTGCCGGGGGATGGAGACCAAAGCCCTGAGGTAAGTGGGGAAGTTGGGGACCTGGAGGAAGAGCAAGCAAGAGGGGGCAACAGGGGAAGTGCTCTCATACTTCCTGAGAGATCAAGGCAATCAACTAGTTACCTCAGGTGCTGTACACAAATGCACGTAGCCTGGGAAACAAGTAGGAAGAATCAGAAGTCCTTGCAGTGACAGAACTATAACATGATTAGAATAACAGAGACTTGGTGGGAGCTTGCATGACTGGAGCATGGTCATGGATGAGTATAAACTGTTCAGGACGGACAGGCAGGGGAGAAGAGGAGGAGTTGCACTTCATGTAGACGAGCCATATGATTGTTCAGAGCTCCAGCATGAAACTGGAGTTAGGCCTGTTGAAAGTCTCTGGGTTAAGGTTAGAGGGGAGAGCAACAAAGGTGATGTTGTGGTGGGGGTCTGCTATAGACCACCAGACCAGGAGGAAGTGGTGGATAAGGCTTTCTTCAAACAGCGGACCTTTCCCAATCACAGGCCCTGGTTCCCATGGGGGAATTCAAACACCCTGACATCTGCTGGGAGGGCACTACAGCAGTGCACAGGCAATCCAGAACGTTTTTGGAAAGTGTTGGTGACAAGTTCCTGGTGCAAGTGCTGGTGTGGCCAACTAGGTGCCATGCTCTTCTTGACCTGCTGCTTAGAAACAGGGATGAATTGGTGGGGAATACTAGGGGATGGCAACTTGGGTAGCAGTGATGACAAGATGATTGAGTTCAGGATCCTGAGGAAAGAAATGATGGAGAGCAGCAGAGTAAGGACCCTGGACTTCAGAAAAGGAGACTTCAATTCACTCAGGGAACTCAAGGGAAGGATACCTGGGAAGCCAGTCTAAGGGGGAAAGGCGTTCAGGAGAGCTGGCTGTACTTTAAAGAAGCTTTACTGAGAGTGCAGGAACAAACCAGCCTGATGCGCAGGAAGACTAGCAAGTATGGCAGAAGACCAGCTTGGCTTAGCAGGGAGCTCTTCAGTAAACTAAATCACAAAAAGGAAGCATATAAGAAGTGGAAATTTGGATAAATGACTAGGGAGGAGTATACGAGCATTGCTTGGGCATGCAGGGATGAAGTCAGGAAGGTCAAAGCGCAATTGGAGTTGTGGCTAGCAAGGGACATGAAAGGTAACAAGAAGGGCTTCTATAAGTATGTCAGTAGCAAGAGGAGGACCAGGGAAAGTGCGGGTCACTTACTGAATGGGGAAGGCAGCCTTGTGACAGAGGATGCAGAAAAGGCTGAAGCACTCAATGCTTTTTTTGCCTCTGTCTTCACAGGCAAGGTCAGCTCCCAGACTACTGCACCAGGCAGCACAGTTTAGGGAGGAGAGCCACCAACAGTAGTGAAAGAACAGGTTAGGGACAATTTAGAAAAGCTGGACATATATAAGTACATGGGGCTAGAAGGGATGAATCTGAGGGTGCTGAGGGAGTTGGCTGATGTTATTGGAGAGCCATTGGCCATCACCTTTGAAAACTCATGGTGATCGGGAGAGGTCCCGGATGATTGGAAAAGGGCAAACATACTGCCCATACTTAATAAAAGGATAAAGGAGGATCCAGGGAGCTAAAGACCAGTCAGCCTCACCTCAGTCCCTGGAAAAAACATGGAGCAGATCCTCAAGGAATCCATTTGAAAGCACTTGCAGGAGAAGAAGGTGATTAGGAACAGTCAGCATGGATTCACCAGGGGCAAGTCATGCCTGACCAACCTGGTTACCTTCTATGATGAGGTGACTGGCTCTGTGGATGGGAGGAGACTGGTGGATGTGGCATACCTTGATTTTAGCAAGGCTTTTGATATGGTCTCCAGCAACATTCTTGCAGACAAGCTAAGGCAGTGTGGGCTGGATGAATGGACTGTAAGGTAGATAGAAAATTGGCTGGATCATCAGGCTGGGAAGGTAATAATCAATGGCTCAATGTCTAGTTGGCAGCCAGTATCAAGTGGAGTGCCCCAGGGGTTGGTCCTGGGGCCAGTTGTACTCAATGTCTTCAACATTAACTAGAAGATGGTATAGAGTGCACCCTCAGCAAGTTTGCAGATGACACCAAGCTGGGGGGAATAGTAGATACCTGTTCCTTCTAAGCTGTGTGGCGTGTGTGACTGTGCAGGTGTGCCTTGTAGTAGTGCGGCATGAGCAGGCGTGTGTGGCCGTGCACGTCGCACAGTTTAGGGGGAACACTGGTAGATACACTGAAGGGCAGGGCTAGGATTCAGAGTGACCTAGGCAAATTGGAGGATTGAGCCAAAAAAATCTTATGAGGTTCAACAAGGACAAGTGCAAAGTCCTGCACTTAGGACGGAACCATCCCATGCACCAGTACAGGCAGGGGGCTGACTGGCTGAGGCAGCTCTGCAGAAAAGGACCTGGGGGTTACAGTGGACAATAAGCTGAATATGAGCCAACAGTGTTCCCTTGTTGCAAAGAAGGCTAATGGCATACTGGACTGCATTGGTAGGTGCGCTGCCAGCAGGTCAAGGGACGTGATTATTCCCCTCTATCCAGCACTGGTAAGGCCACAACTGAAGTACTGTGTTCAGTTTTGGGCCCTCCACTACAGAAAGGATGTGGACAAATTAGAGTCCAGTGGAGGGCAACAAAAATGGTGAGGGGGGCACATGACTTATGAGGACAGGCTGAGGGAACTGGGCTTATTTAGTCTAGAGAAGAGAAGACTGTGAGGGTATTTAATAACAGCTTTCAACTACCTGAAGTGGGGCTCAAAAGAGGATGGAGCTAGACTGGTGGCAGATGACAGAACACCGAGTAACGGTCTCACGTTGCAGCAAGGGGAGTTTAGGTTAGATATTGGGAAGAATTTTCTCACTAGGACGGTAGTAAAGTACTGGAACAGGTTATCCAGAGAAGTTTTGGAATCTCTATTCTTGGAGGTTTTTAAGACCCAGCTAGACAAAGCTTTGGCTGGAATGATCTAATTCGGGATGGTCTTGCCTTGAGCAAGGGGTTGGTCTAGGTGACCTCCTGAGGTCTCTTCCAACCCTAATTTTCTATGATTCTAGGACTCTTTGGAAGTCTTGCTGGCAACCTCACAAAGAGTGAATCCTCAGGTTTTGATTCAGCCAGGTATATAAGCATGAGTCTTAATTTTAATTATGTAAGCTTTCTCCTCCTTTAGCACAATGTCTAAAGTTTGACAGGTGCTATGGACATTTCTGAATAGAAGTCCAAGAAGGAAGGGGACACAGGGCACATCTACACATTTATTAATATGCCCATAGTTACCGCGCATTAAGTTTAGTACTTGTATAACAAAGTACTACATCAGTGCACAGTAACTGGTGCTACTGTCCAGTAGTGCCGGTGCATGGCTTTGTAGTGACACTAACTGCGCAGTAGCCTAATACTACTGAACATTAGTGTATTAGCATGGTTTTTGCCATGCACGCTAATGCACAGTGAAATTAGGCTGCTGCGCAGTTAGCATTTTGCATAGTTGCATCCACAGAGACTTAAAAAGAAGCTAAGATCCCAGGGGGAAAAAAAGTCTTTGGACAACATTTACAGAGTTGAGTGTCTAAAATCTGGCACCTAAACAGAGGTGGCCTTATCTTAAGAGATGTGAGGCATCTGTAGCTCTGGCTGAAGTGCATCAAAGAAGGTGAGGTGAGCCTCCCCTATCCAGTAGGCATGTATTGCTTCTCATTGGGGACTGATAATGTTTACATAAGTGAATGCTTAGCTCCAGTATTAAAGTGGTCTTTGTGCTTGTATCAGGTGTCCACAAAAAGGGCGTGCCATGTCTAATCTCCTTAAGACTTTAAAACAGCAAGCGCTACAGAACTTGATGCTAAGTTGGTAACAACTAAACTTAATAGTGTGGATGGGGCATCTCATAGCCCCAAAAGATGCGTGTCTATTTACCTTATAAAGAGCAGACATTGAGGCAGATCCCACAACAAGTGCTATTCCAATAACTGAATGACTGTGGAATCCATCCGCATAAGTCATCATGACTATCCCTGCGATAGCAAATATAGCAGCCACAATCTGGATGGAAACAAAAATAGTAAGCATTATTTAACAACCCTAGATAGTCAAAATATTAAAGAGCCATTTAAATGACATTTTAACATACTTCTATCATTTGCTTCATCCTTATCTACTATACCAGAGGTGGGCAGCCTGCAGCATGCATGCTGTAAATGGCATGAGCAGTCCCCGGCACTCAGTTAAGGAGGCACTGGAATGGAGGCAGGGGGCTCAAGCCAAATGAAGCCAAATTAAATTCAGTGCACATAAACCAGGTTCAAAATGGTTGAAACTGGTTTAAGATAAACCTGGTTGAATGTAGTATCAGAGTTAACTGATTTGGGTCAAACTGGTTTATGCAATGTCTGTCCCAGACCCCTTCCTGGTTTAAGTTAAACCAGAGTCCCCCAGAATCCCAGGTGCAGCCCTGGCCTGTGCTGGGCTGGGCTGGGCTCTCTGCTCCAGAGAACAGGGCTAGCCCCACCACTGTGCTCCCTAGCTGGAGCTCTGGAGGCACAGCAGCGTCTGCCTGGCTTCCCTTTGCCCCACCCCCATCACTGCTCGCTGCTCAAGCCCCTCCCTCCCTTCTTCCCTCCCATCTCCCACAGCACAGACCCCAGTCCCATGGACTCTAGACATGTGGTATGCTAGCTAATAGTGAGAGGTGGCTGTGTGTGTCTCCAATTTCACTGGGACAGGCAGATGGAACAGTGTCTGCTTATGGCTTTTTGGAGCTAATCAACAGGTCAGCTGGTAATGTCCCTCCATTCCTTCCTTGGAAAAAACTGTTTAAGAAGAGCTTGAACTAATGCAAGAGGCTTTTGTTTTGTTGATGGGCTAATAAATGCTGTGTTATGAGCCCCCTGCTGTCTCCCTCACCTGTCAGGTTTGCAGACAGTTTGAAGAAGCAGGGAGAGGGAGATTGAAAAGCTCAGTATCATCAACAGATGCATGCACTGCACACCTCCCCTTTGCCTCAGAGTGCTAGCCAGGGGCTGGGGTCTAGCAATACTCTTGCCTCTTGAGCAGCGAGAGGGGGAAAACCCAGGACAGTGCAGGCAGGGTGGGGTTTTATACCACTCCCAAATCAGAGCGTCCTGCTGGGGCTTGGCCACACCCCTCCTTCAGCTCAGCACTTTGGAAGGGAAGGGAGGGCTGCTCTAGTGCTCGGCTTCTAGCCTGAGCCACTGCAGGCATGTGCCTGCATTTCTTCAGTCCAGAGAGAATGTCTGTGCAGTTGCAAATGGATTTGATCTAGGCGGGTTAGACTAACCTGCAAAGATTGAATCAATTCAGGCTCAGGCTTTCTGAATGTCTGTCCCTAGCCTGAAGGGTTAACCTGGCTCTTAGAAGTGACACCTCCATTCTCCATTCACTCTTCTCTGTGTAGCCAGAGCCTTGAGCCCCCACCTCCATTCTGGCACCCTGGGGCACAAACTCTATCAGGTACACCTCTAGGGTGAGGATGAGAGCAGCACTTGGAATGGGGAGCTGCAAGCACAGTGACAAAGAGACTACATCTGATTTCAGTATAGCTGGCAAGGGGAAGAGCTGTTTTTCAGAGCATCAGCGTCTTAATAATCTGAAAAGGGAATTTCATCTCTGTCACAAAGTCTCTGAGTTAGACAGCCACTGCAGGATTCATTTGACAGTAATACTCAAGTAACACCTAGGAATTCCCTAATGCCTGCAGAAATGTATTTGAATTCAGAGGAGATAGCAGGGAAAATAAACTTGTTGGAAAAAAATAGAAAAATAAGGTAGATTTAAGGATGTCGCAGGTCAGCTAGTCAAAGTCTTCAGCTGTAAATAGGGATCTAGAATTTATTACTAAAGCAAATGCTGGTATTTTGAGTAGGATTTTCAGATGGGCCCGAGGCCTTCAACTTAATTGAATCCAATGACTTCCCTCATTCATACCGTGAATTTCAGTGGGAGTCAGTTGCCTAAATGCAGCTGAAGAACCGAGCCTAAGTGACTTAGATGTGCAAATCCAGCCATCTCTCAGTACCACTTGTGCTCCTATGTCACTTAGAGAGGTTGAAAATTTCAACCTGTGAATGTCGGATATACTTCAGTCAGTTTGGGGGAGGGGCTACTTATCTGAGAAAACTGGCTGTGTGCACCATGGATGTGATGTTGTGGTGAGAGGTAGGCAGAGAAGAATGAGTTGGGCAGGATGGTTTCCTGCTTCTTAGAAGCCTCATAGTTATAATGCACCTTCCTCTTGGAAGGGATTGAGCATGGTGTTTTGGCCAGCCCAGAAGTTGGAAGTAAAAGGACAAAAAAAGAGTTAAAATCAACATTAGAGACTCCCGGAAACTCCTGGAGAGTTTGCTAGTTTCTCTTTACCAAGACTTTAGGCCTGTCTTCTAAACATATTGGTTCAACAAATAAGAGAGGACTGCGCATCATACATGCTTAATTCCATGCTTCAGGAAGAAAGGAAGTTTTAATAGACTGGACAGGTAAAGGGAATGCCTCATTATGAGACTGGAAGCTACTTGTGGTTATACAAGATGCTGGACCAGCTGCCTTGAGACTAAATTTCACTGTCTATACAACAGGCACAGCCTATGGCAGTGCTGTTCTCCACATGCTGCTTTGCCAATATGCCTTGTGTTCAGGGAAATGTGCCTCATGGGGTAAGAGGGGTCAGGGTCCAGGCTCATTCCATCCTGTCTCTCTAATGATGCTCCCAGTAGTTAGTGCCACTAGTGGTTATGGGGAGACACACTTGTGTAAACCTTTATCCAAACTTTATATTCCTTGCTATCATACTCTACAAAGATAGCAATGAATAACCCATCCATTTGGACGTGTATCTTGTAATCAGGATACAAAACTTCCAAGTAGATGAATCATCAGTCTGTTCCAGAATCCAAAAAAGCAGTCCCCATAGAGAATATAACAAAATTTAGACTAGAACAGGGACCTGAAAAGTGTAAATACTGAAGTCCAGATTTTATTTTACCTATTAGGCATCTAAGTGGCCTTAGGTTCCATCGCATTATTCTATTCCACTCTGTTTATAAATCTCAGAAAATCCATTAATGCATCAACTTTTTTAACACCCTACCATTTTAGCCTTAAGACTGGCTGTGTCTACACATGCATTTACACTGGCTTAAATTTACTGCACAGTAAGCAGGAATAGGCTGGTGTCTACACATGCAGGTGTTAAAGCTAGTCCCAAGTCAGTCCACACACACAGTGTTACTTAACAGTAAGGCGTCTACACATGCATTATCGCGCAGTGACTAGTCAGGCCTAAATTTGATACCTACATGATGCAAGTATCAAATTTATGCTCAAGTTGGCGTAAGTTGCCATATTTACTATGCAGTATGGGCATGCACGTGTAGACATGTGCCTGTACTGTGCAGTATATGTGTATGTGTAGACGCACCCACTGAGTCTCAGAAAAACAGTAAGGAGGAAGAGGTTTCACCTGTACTTTGCATTAATTGTTTTTTAGGATTTGATCAGGGTGGAACAGGATTGTAGTTTGGTGCCTAAGTCCATTTATGTGCCTAACAGGTGAATTAGAACCTGGCCCCCAATGATCTTATATATCACATGTGGTGTGCATCTTATAGGCTTGGGCCCAATTTTAAAATTCCAGTCCCAAGTTCAACCAGCAAAAATGTGCATTCAAAGTCAAGAGGCAGTCAAACAGGTTCTGCACATGGTTATCTCACTACATGTAGTTCTCTTAAGAGGAAAATGTACAATTTTGCAAATGCAAAGCTGACTTCCAAAATGTATTTCTTTAGCATGCAGGTTTAGTAGGAGCAACAAAAGACAGAATATGTGGTGTTTTATCTACTCTCTAAAGCAGGGGTGTTAAAGATACAGCTCACAGGCTGGATCTGGCCCCCAGAGCCATTTCATATGGCCTTGAGGGCTCTTGTGGGGCTAGGAATTCAGGGGAGGGATAGAGTCTGTCACCAAATTCCAGGATACGGAGCGCCACTAGGGACTTGTTTCAGCAGCAGTGGGTGACCGATGGCTTCATAAACCTCTGCAGTTCTCTGAACTGACAACAGTGCTGCCATTGCCACATGCTCTGCTGCTGGAGGTGGAACTGGAGCCAGTCTGGTGGGGAGGCAAACAAGTTTGAGCCCCGTGGCTTAAAGAATGGAGCATGGAACTAAAGCTGTTTGCCTTCTGGATGGACTAAAAAAAAAAAAAAGGAAAACCTTATTTTGGGTCAAATGCACCATTTATTGTAATTCCAGGATCATTGTGGCTAGTTCACTTCACTACCATTTGCTGTTTAAGCTTTTTTTCAAAAAACATTTTTTAGTAGCTAGGAATAAGAGTGAGGTAAATTTGAAAACAAAATATCAATTCAAATAAAAAACTTGAAAGCTTTCATTCAGATTACAGGGAAACAGTTTTATCTTCCTTAGCCTTTTTTTTCAGGGTTTTTTTTTTCTTTTCATCAAAATAATTTGTTAAATTGACAAAAATGTCCCAAATGATTTAATCAACCTGAAATGCCATTTACCAGGAGGAGAGAAAATACTCTGTGCAGCTCTGTTTCAGATGCTATTTTGATCAAAGTAAAAGCAAAATTCCCAAGCGTTCAATATTAAAAAAACCCTGATGTTAAGGGATTTGATCCTACAAGCTGTTGACCACCTGTGCAAGCTTCCTCTAAGCACAAGAAGAATGAGGGAGCTCTGCACTCTGTGCTGCAGGATTGAGTCCAAGGTGCATACAGTTCTAAGGTCACAGGCATCTTTCAGCCTGAAGGCTACCAACAGGATTTACAAACTAGCTCAAGCTGCAAAGCTGGAGGCTGTATCCACACTTTGCCAGCCCTGGAGGATGCTCAGATATGGGATTTTTTTTTACTTGTTTTCCTCCTCTGCATAATACAGTAGACTTATTTCACTCACAACTGAAAAGCACCTACATGTGAAAATACAGTAACAGTGCAGAACAATGCCAGACAATTTTATGTTAGGCAGGGAGGAACACACATTCTGTTCAGCTGGCAATTTGGCAGT